AGAAATGCCAAGTATATCGCTGCTGATCAAAGTTAAACGTTTTAATTGTCTCGAAGCAGAGAATGAAGAATTAAAAAAAAAAAAAAAGAAACCGTTTCTTTTTGTTCAAAAACTATTAATTTGATATCCGGTACACGAAGCACGTATTTAGCAAATTGTATTACGTTTATGAATTGTATGTAATAGTATAACTGGCTGTGTGATTTTAACTCTCACGATATTATTTTTTGAATTGATTACAACAAAATAAAGGAAATTAATTTCGTTGCAACGAACGGGATTATCTTAAATTTCACGGTTTTCTTGAAATCAATTTCGGAAAAACCATTACTATACATGTTCCCGGAAGAAATAATTATTTTATTCCGTAACGGCGAAAAGTATCGATTTAAAGCGAAAATAATAAATATTATTTCTTAACGTTTTTTCGGATACCTAAACACGAAACGTGTACGCCCGCGCTCGCATATACACCCACGCACATATACACACACTGAGTAGGTATTCATTTGTGCAGTGGCGTAGTTACGGGGAGGGGTAAGGGGTTTCCACCCCCCTCCCCATAGATTTTTTTTTAATGATATTTGATTATTATTTATTAATATTTATATATTATAGTAAAATATTTTGATTTTACTATGATTAGGTATATATTAAAAATTGAATAACAAAATAATTTTCATTAATACGGGACATAATAACACTATTTTAAATGTAATATTATATATGATCTCGTTTTAAGATATACTACGAACACTTAAAAACTTACTCTTAAACACCCCCCCAGAAAAGAATTGTATCTACGCTACTGCATTCGTGATATTTAAAATGACACGGTTGTCGGGCAGGTAGGTATAATAATAAATATGCACGGAGTGCGTCTGATGGTTGAGTCGATTGTTTTCTTCGAATACTACGAAAAAGAGGATAAATCAAGGGTAATAAGAAGATGTTACTGGTACAGTAACTTGACTCTTTATACTACCCCGCCCCGTTCACGCGCTCGCACGTTGCCGACACTCGAATATAATATAATAATATTATAATATAATAATATATACTGTACATGTGAAATATTATTATGAAGGACAGATGTGCTTTTATAGCGGTGATTGATGCGGTTATCGACATTAGCCAGCTAACGATCGTTATCGACGTTATAATATTATCGTCGCGCCTATTATTATTATTATTATTATTATTATCATAATATCTGTACGTTAATGCTTTCTCTGGCCTATTGTTGTTTTTGTTTAGATGTCCGCTGCTGGAATATCATATCGTGCTTGCATAATATGTGTAGCTTTGCACACGCGCCATCCCTGTGTCCACACGCACCGTACATTATTATTATTATAATTGATTTCGGCAGTGGCAGCAGCGACGAGTTTATTGTTTTTAAATGCTTTGATGATATAATTCATAACTCCAACCAGTCGGCAAACAGTCGCGCGGAGGGATGGTCAATACAATTTTCTCCGCCATAAATGATGTTACATTATTGTAAAATCGTCGCCGGTCTCGGACGAATCGTGCGCATATGCGACCGCGTATTTTTGCATATTTGCGGGGCGGTGCGTTATAGGAATTCGTGTTTACACACACAACAAAAACACGCATACACACGCACACGACACTTGACATCCGAACCCGTGTGTGTAGTTCTTACACGTTGCGTTGTACGCGTGCAAGCGCAGTTCTCGCGTACAAGTACTGCACATTTAGTGTATTATAGTGTTGTAGTGTCGGCGACTCGCACTCCATTTTAAAATGTAATAATTGTTTACAGGTTAGTATGAATGCGCTCCGTGCGTGCGTGTGTGCGCGTGTGTTCTCGTGTGTGTGCACGCGCGCGCTCGCTACACTCGCTTTTGAAAACCTCAGACGGCGGCGGCGTTGGAGTCTTTTAAAGAAAGGAGGCAAAAAAAAAAAAAATCCTTATTGCAGCTACACACAGCTCTTTAAAACCCATCATCGTTTTACCCTTTTTTTTCTTCTCTTGGTCGATAAAGCCATATATACGGCCACTCTTTAATCGAGTATCTGACAGCCGGCCTTATTATTATTACTACTCTCGTCCCCGTCATCCCTTTACCGAGAGTATAATATATATATAAAATACATGAAGTATTAGAGTACTGTTGCCGTACATATTTTGGCCACCGTCGCTGCTGCAGTGCGTTAACGCCTTTATTGTTTTTAGACCATCGAATATATAATAATGTGTGAATTTTACTCGGACTGTAAATAAAAATAAGCAGGCAACCCTTACCGAATATGCAATCACTCAAGGTCACCGGTCATAATGTAATTATGTCGTGCGTATTGAATTCTTCCCGGGTGTGATAAGCGCACGACCGGTGCAGTGTAGTTAGGTACACAAGCCATTATGAAAATCGTACGCGTTTATCCTCTGCGGTGTCGGAACGAATACAAAGAAGTTGATTTCATTATATCGCGTATCCGCGGAGAACCCGAACTCAGCATTCGAAACAATCGGAAATTTTTTTTACACCCGGTATCTACCCGAAATATTGAATTTGTTCTTCAGAAGCGTCCCGTCGATTGTGTTTAGTCGAATATTTTCCAAACGACGGCGTTTTCTGATTTTCAATCTCTCGCCAGAATTGTCTTTTACAAAGCATCCTAAGTATTTTGTACCGAGTATTTTCCAAGTACAATGTGCACGTCTTCGTTAAATATGTCTATTAACTACTTTCAAACATAAAATATCGTTACTTGCTATACATGGATAAACCTGTACGCGTACGCACTACTTATGCTATTTATATTGTATCTTTAAGTATTTCATGATCGAATAAATCTTGGTTAGGTAATATAATAAATTATCATGTGTCGTAGAATGTTTGACAGTTTATATTATAATTTGACTTACGATTTTGGAAAGTTGGAAAATAAATAATATAATTCTTATAGCACAAAGTCAATCCAGATTTGCCTCTTTTATCGAAAAAAAAAATAGTAAATAATAATAATGATAATAATAAAATAGATAATCTAAAATTCCATTCAGGCCCTCAATTATTGATTTTTATAAAATGTTTTTGACACTCGCATGTTATTTAAGAAGCATAAATCATATACTTACTTAAATCGATAATATTAATTTTAAATTAAAAGAAATATTTTGTGAATATCGGAATAAAGTAATAGCTATAAAACCTGTGTTGATAGATAATTGTAGAATGTACTGATGGTAAACTTTGTACAGTCTATAGTACAGTTATCTCCAAGCTTAATGATTACATCCAAAAGACCTAAACCCATTATTTATCACGCAACTCGCTCATTGATTTAGTTGTACACTTGTAATTAAAAATAAATCTCCCACTAAATACTTATTGCATCGTGTTTACATTGTGTAACTTGTAAACATTCAATAGTCCTGCATGATATGCACAGTACAGTGACATTGATAATATACATTTTTACATCCATTGAATAATAGTATTATTATATAACTATAATAGGTAATTATTAGGCAATGCCAAAAGATACAAATACATACAATTTTTTATGTTTATTTATGAGCGTCTTGACGAATCATTCTAAAATTAATTATTGTATTTTACTTACACAAGTTGTACACAGAATTGGTATACAATAACACATTTGACATATATACGTATTATGATGACTAATCACGAGGATTTTCATTTTGCCGTTCATAGATTAAAAAAAAATTAAATCATACATTTAAATACCTATATAAGTAAATGTATATTTAATGAAATACGTATAACATTGGTACGTGTGTAAAATATTAGCCTTTACCGATGTTAAGTTTAAAAAAATGTTATTTGTTTTTTAAATAACGGTGTTAGACGAGATGGTTAGGTGATTTGTCAACTAATTTGTTAACTATCATCAGTTTACCTATATCGATTGGTACTATGCCAAATTTAACAATGTAGTGAAGATTTCATAATCATTATGCTTTAAAACTAAAATAAATAAATACAAGATATTTATTATAAACACCAATGTTGTAGACCATTTATCAACCCAGTACAATTTCGTTTTCGTTAGTAATAACCAGCACTTATAACTTATAGCATTTACATATTTTTTTGGGAGATCTTAGAAATAGCTATGTGAGCTATAAACTTGTTTTAGATATCTAAGAAGTTAATCATGAAATGTTATGTTGGATATTTTTGCGTATTTCAAAGTATAAAAGTTATTTTGTTTTTTTTCTATTTGTTGACTTATTTTTGCATGTTTATAAATTTGTTATTTGCTATTTTCTGTAAAAAAAGTCTTTTTCAATTCTGTAGCATTTAAAACATTTTTTCTTATTAATAACAAGTAATTATTGTAGTATTAATAATTTATATTTATAATTAATTCACGTTAATTAACTAATTTTTTTTTTTGGTTTAAACTATATATTTATTTGTATCGTGTAGCAACACGATCGGTATTTTAATAATGAGAGTTTGACATTTTTTTTTACATGATATTTTTTTTGCATATTTTGGTATTTTTAATACATATTTAAGCGCTTGTATAAATATTTTTATGAGTATATTATAGCGCTTATAATTACCATTTTTTTAGAGATATAAGTTATGAGCCCTAGTAATAACAATTTTGTGTTTTTATGATAGATGAAAATGTCGTTGAATTTTAAAAAATATGAAATACGCGCGGACACAGATTATTGAAAGGTATAAAAAAAAAGTTTATTTTAATCAGAATAACTTAGAACCGATTTATCACTTGTCTGATGATAATCAACCGTAATCCATTAAAACAGGATTCACACTGAAATCCGTACTCTAGTCGTTTCTGTCGGTTTCAATATTTTAAGTATTCATTATTTAGACCTGTACACGATTAGTATTTAGAAAATAAAAAGAATATGAGATTGATCACAAAGTATTGCAGATAAATCATTTTCAAACGGGAACCGGTACATCATTAAGATCCGTCTATAAACGTTTTAATGTAGTTGTCTCCTTTAATTTATGTTGCAGATAATGTCATTGGGTCCCGTCATCCTATTGACTGTAATTTGGTTAGCCATGTTCAAGATATTGACCTGCGAATCGCTCCACAACAGTGGAATTCACCGTGGTCGTCATAAGTATAAGCGACGACATTTATTTTCCGAAGAAAATAATCGCCATGTCCGTCTTCATTATGAAAACTTACCACTGGAACAAGATGCGTCATTATTAATGTTGGATGAGGACAATGAAGACGTCTCTGTTGATGCTTCTTTTGAATTGGACAAGCCACGTGAGTATTTTAATAAGCGATTTTATTTTTATTTTTTTTATACATCTTGTAAATGTTTTCGGATAAATTCTTTGGACTATTGTTTGCTTACAATTTGATTAAACAATTGTAATTGATCGAAAAATAATTTCAACACTGCCGGTACTTGTAGTATTTTAAATACTATGTGAAATGACGTACAAACTTGTTGAATATTAAATACTATATAAAATGATGCACAAGTCATAACTATAAGGCTCGTTTCGCAAACTTAATTAACTATCAATTAACATTTAAATTTACGCTATAATTTTAATATTATATTATAACCAACTAAGTTCAACTATTTAATAAAAAAACAGTTTTGTAACATATTTTATACGTGACCGATCCGATCACTGGTATTTTGCTAAGTCACATTGGACAGGTTATCTATATCTATACTTTTTGAAATTATTTATATTATTGTCGGACTTTAAATATTATTTTTTTAACGTATTATATTTTTGAAAACAATTTGGAAAGAAACTTCAATTTTAAAATTATTATTTCAGGATACTTAACCTATAAGGAACATATTATAATTAGTTAAATATTTCACATTTTATTGTTTCATGACTTTCAACCCTACACTCATTTCATGTGTCCATATTTTACAACCTATGCTGAAAATCCATGTTTCGCCCATAACATTTTTAAATTGTTCATTACAATATAAGCATTCTACATCTGCTGAAACTTCGTTATCAGTTATCACATAAAAAGATCATTCATTTTCCGAAGAAAAAGATCCATTAACAAATAGTTTCTTTTTAACTGATTTACTTTTTCTTTTTTTTATTCATTTTTTTTCAATTTTTTTTATTCTCTTGTATTATCTTTCTTCCTTTTCTTTGACTAGGTTCATTCTCGAGGTCATTTTTTCTTTTAATTTTTGTTCAAGATATCTTTTACAGGAGTACATGTTAGAACTATTGATGGTAGTTTAGCTCTAGGCTTTCTTGTTATTTTTCCATTGGTGGTTGAGAGTTTCGGAAGTACCGGTATATTTTTACTTGTTGTAGGAGGCAGGTACGTAGTCAGGATTTTATTTGGAGAGGGGTCGAAATAAATGTTAGAACAATTTTTTTGCCTAATTGATTTATAAAACATTTAATTTTTTTTATAAACTGACAAATTAAAATCTTACAAGTTACAGTAGAATAAAATATATAATAATTTAATATTTTCAACTGATGTTTATAATATAAGTTATCTGCTTTTTTGAGCCATTATATCTAATTTTTTCGTCTGTAGAGATAGACACTTCTCAATGTACTGACAGAAGAGCAAGTCCCGTTAAACGCTCATTTCCAGTTTTGTTACGAAGCAATGTTTTTAAACATTTTAGTGTTGAAAATGAGCGTCCAACTGCTGTTTTAGAAACTGGTAGCGTTGCCAAGATTTTCAATAAAAAAATGGATGTTAGGGTAATGCATCACATGTATCCAAAATACCCATAATTTCAGTGGGTTTTTTTCTATATTTACCCATTTTTCACACCATAATAAAAATTCAGAACAAACCACTTTTTCAGATATATAATATTCGTAAAATATGTTTAAATTTTTAAGTGTCGACACATTTTCGTTTAAAGCATATTTTGGCAATAGGATTTCAATTGATGACAAAATAATATTGTTTTGTCTAAAATGGTTTTCTAAATTTAAAATGAAACCGTCTATCGATGGTACCAAATATCGATGTTCTATAGTATTCTTCCGGTGTTTTACTATCATAATTATTTCTGTGTCTTTAGTTTTTTTTTTTTTGATGCGCGGACATAAAATTTCTGAATTAAAATATATTTTTCTTAATTTATTAGCTTTTTGAAAAATAGATGAAAACGTTTCAATATAGTTATTTCTTAATTGTTTTAGTTTATTTATAATGTCGTGAGCGTAGTTCATAGCCGATGAAACGTACCGGATTTTGTAGGTAATGTGATAACGGACGCGTAAAGTTTAAAAGATGTTCGCAAACTAGTAAAGAAATAATTAAACTACTTTTTTCCACTGCACCTAAAAATGAAGATGCACTTGAGGATACTGAGCGTGTTGTTTCTTGAATATCTTGAAGACTGATTATAATTGGTACAAGAAGTTCAACAAAAACATTAATAGCATCTTGTCGTTCTATAAAACGCGTTTCACATGACTAATCTAACGAGTTCTTTTAGATTCAGGAACATACCTTGAAATATTATTTTTAAGAGTATGGCCGGTTAAGGCATTGTTTCTATATTAATTAATAATATCCTTTATAACGCCTAGACTATTGTTTATACTTGAAATCGATAAAGCTGACGAGAGTAGTAAATTCAATCTATGAGCCGAGCAATGTACAAACATTTCTTTTGAATATTTTTGCCGAATTCTAGACTAAACTCCATTGAATTATCCACTCATGTTTCCTGTGCCGTCATATCCTTGCCTAACTAAATTACTCATATCCAAACCTAATAGTTCACACTTTTCTAAAATTAAATTAGCTGAATTTTCTCCAGCAAGTTCATAGGCTGGAATAAAACATGAGAAATCTTCATGTAGTTGGTTTTTAAAATTTATATACCTAGCGCACAGAGAAAAGTTGTTCTATTCCAGAAACGTTTTAAGCTTCATCACATAAAATTGTAAAACAACCAGCTTTGTTTATGATAACCCGCTTTAAAATGGGACGTACATTTTTCTATAGCGTTTTTCAATTTAATAAACGGTTTGGCTACTAGTGAACCAATCTTTTCATGGGATTCTTTTCTTACATAGCCGTACTAAACAAAACGTAATATTTACAAAATGCCCCATCAAATACTTTTGAGTGTGATAACCAATTCTATTTTTGGAACCTTTGATATTGAATTTTAAGGTTTTTTCCATTAAATTCACGAACAGGAAAATCATAAGCCGTAGTAGGTACATATTGGGAATTCATAACGTTACTTTTAAATAAATCGTTGTTGGAGGTATAATTTTTTTTTCAAATAATTCTATTGAGACCGTTCCGTTATCCATGTTAATAGTACTCACATTTTTTACATCCATAGTTAGTTCGGTTGTGACCGTTGTATTTTCTTCAAGCTTACCTTTCGAGTTATTGACTAACTGCGGATTTTTAACTGCTGGTTTGAAAAATTTGTCTAATGCCTCTCGTTTCATGACAATACAAATAAGTCAAATTGAAAAAAATAATTAAAATAACGCCAAAGTTATTATATAAACTATATTGTTAAAAACGAAACTCGTGTTTGTCTTGCGCTCAATACTCATGTATGATTAATATCTGAAATAAATGAAACTTAATATGAAACCTAATACGAGATTTGCGATAATATTGTTGATAATAGTTGATGTATACCATGAAAGACAGGACAAAAAAAACTACCCATTGATAACTAATTTTATTAATTTAATTATAAATTAATGAATTTTTAAATTTAAAAAATAAAAAAATAAAAATTATTGTTATTACTATTATAGTTATTACATAAAAGTATTATAAGGTTGAAATGAGAATGTCCGAATATACAATAACATATTTTTCATTATTTAATATAAAGTTTTTACGAAAACAATAAGGAAAAAAAAATTATATACATTATAAACTATTTTTTATGAACCGTAGACCGCGGTGCCCTTAGAAAGTACTCGAGATGCCCCTAGGGCACCGCGACGCACAGTTTGGGAACCGCTGTTCTATGGTGTCGGCTGTCGGGTCTCCGCGATATATAATTCAACCCATAGATAAGAATATTTGACTAATCTATAGTGGTTTTTTTTGTACCACAATACAATAATATTTTTTTGAATAAAACGTATTTTATTTTAATTTAAATTATAAGGACAATAATTTTGTATGCTGGTATACAAAAATTTCGGGGGGGGGGGTGTCCAGACCCTATGGGCCCCCTCTCCTGGATATGTGCCTAGTAGGAGGCAAAACCAAACTATGTATTTGTAGGTTGACATTAGTACTAGAAACAGTTTGGCAGATGTTAGCATAATCTATTGTATAAAAAATAATGTAAATCTTCAAAACCCGATTACCAGATAGGGACAAGTTGACGAGTTTGTCAACTTGCCCCAACGTGTACTTAGATAAACATTGTTATTCACACCTATAATAAAATAAAATTGCACATACCACCAGTGTAATATAATAACTAACAACTACCACTATCCATACTTGCAAAAATAAATAGCTTTACTCAGTGGCGTACATTCAATCTTGAATGTTAACAAAAACTTGGGGTTAACAAAAATAATCGTTATCTTTTTTTTCGTCGCACAGATAAATAAGATAAATAAATGCTCTAAATAGATATTATTTTACACAACTTTTGTACCAATTTACAGTTTACTTTTACATTACAGTAAATTAAAAGCTATTGGAATATAAAAACAGCATAGTTAACAAAAAATTTTAAACACCCATCAATATAATTATTTAATTATCATAATATTTGTATGGTTGTATATTTTAAGTTCAAAGAGTAATAATGAAACTACCAATATATTACACGTCATCAATAATAAAACAATTTTTTTTTTTTTTTTTGGTTCTGGGGGGGTTGAACCCGGGACACCCCCCCTATGTACGCCACTGACTTTACTTGTATAATGTATTGTTGAAGGCTTACGATCAATGGTCTTCACATTTGTATTGTAATGCAATAAACAGATAAATGATAACGTGTGTTTATGTGTTATCAGATAATCATTGTTACCGATATAATTAACATTTATGCATAGATATGTATGTAAATGTATTTTAATATCACCAATAGATGCTGTAATACATTTATAAAACCAAATTAGTCATCTTGCTCCACTTTCCCCTACTTAAATAAATATAAGATCGATTCATTTAAGAGACAACACTGATAAGTATTTATGTTCAAATTTATTTAAAAAAGAAAATGTTGTAAATATAGAAAAGCAAACAAGTTTTTGTTGCAAAATATTTAAAGAATTAGAATTGACAAT